ACCACTTGAAACATCACTAGCCCTGAAGCTGCTGGTAGACATCGCGGTTGGAATTATCAAAGGTTTTTGACACCTGAGAGACACCGTAGCGTTTAGAAGGGGTGGGGGGCAGGGAGGATGATTCAACCACTCAACCACTAGATGTCGCTAAAAACAACAAATCCTACACACTGTGCCTTTAAGAAACTCAGTACAGTAGCTTRCAGTAAGTGATGCATGCCCTGCGTCCCCACTCCACCTGGAGCGCAGCATTTCCACCTTCTAATCCGTGTGCAGTGGTGGATCTGAGATTTGTGTAAGGGGCCAACAATGGGCCACAATATTCATAGAGGGGCCAAGTATTTTTTCAGCATCCTTGCACACAAATCCCTGGTATTGGTAAGACATATATATTTAACCAGTTGCACGTTCGAACACTTGTAATTTTAAAAAAAAGCTTGCACAGTACATTCTCCTTACCAATTTCACATGCATTTTTACAGTACAAAATACTCTCAAACGCACAGCATGTGAGAGAATCCAGCCATCATTTGTGAGTTGAAAGACTTTTTCTGCAGGATCGTTCAAATTTTATTGAAAGAAAAAGACCAATTAGCTTTATTCATGCAGGACTTTTCTATTCGTCCCATTAGCGCCTCTAGTGTTTGGACATGGAACTGCACCCAGCATCATTGCTCTTGGGCACAGGACAGATGAGTGATAGGACAGGGGCACTTCAGGGGGCCGATCAAAGTTCAACAGGGGCCAATGCCCCTGTGGCCCCGCCCCTAGAACCGCGTGGTGTGTAACTGCTAYGTGTTTCGCTTTCGTGTGTTTTTGTTTGGTTCTTACCGCATTACGATGCCACCCCAAAAGAGCTGTGGGCCTTTTCTGGACAGCATCCAAAATTCGCATTTTTTCACGATTTGCGGGTACTCTAAGAACGTAACCCCCAGCGAAAATCGGGGCTTCACTGTATACAAGTTGACATATATTACTTAAGATTTTCAAATTAAAGCACAAAATCTTATAAAGAAATAGAAATAATTACAGTCAGAGATAAACACTATTATTAAAAGACAATAAGGACTTTATTGCTTCTTTTACAGTAACAACAGTGACCTAACTGTGAACATTTCTGACTGTTTATACTTACACAAAAAAAGTTCTTTAAATGTTAAAATACAAAAATAGGAGAGAAAATATTGTCTAGACAGTAGCTAAAAAAACTGAAATGAACTACTTTTTCTCAAAAGCTCCACCTTCCTTATAATCCTAAAAAAACAAAAACTACCTGCAGAGAGTTTATCTGAGRAGTCTGCCCTTTTAGATTTAAACATTTATTATGTTGAAACACATCAAAGTGGCTTCAGCTGGTTTCTTGCTGGACAGTTAAGTGTTAGTTTTACAAATTCAATTAAGTTTGTCTGAAATGAGAGCTTTTATATATGATACACAACAGCGGCATGCGCTGACAGAATACTTCTTAGTTTGAAACATTTGAAAACAAGCATTTAATCAGATTGCTTCTTAGACTCTCACTTTAGTTTTTGGCCACGTATCCTGTTTCTGACAGTCAAAAAKTTTTAAATTCCCTGCAGCAGAGCATTTAAATCAGCCTTGAGTTGCAAAAATAAAAAAATTAAATWAGTTCCTGTGATTTAATATAAAGTCAAAAAGTGAAACTGGGGTCAAAACTGCAACCCTGGGAGAGSAAAGAGCTTTTTAAAAGTGAGTGAGCATTAGGAACAGAACAGAAGGTAAGAGGTAAGAAATTGGAAGATTTCTCCTGGATTTTCAGGCTTGTATAAAAACAAAAAAAAAAAAAGGAGCTCGGAGGTAATTTTCCAGACTGCTGTGTCTTTTTGTGCTGCGTTAGTAAGAAGCTCTTAACAGCCCAYAGCAACCCGCTGCTCCACACCCCAGAGAACGGGACACACTGTTGGTTTTGGCGCTAATGGAATTTGATTGGAGACAAATGCAAGGTACACGACCACAATGTATAGGTGATAATTCATGGTTTCCTGCAGACAGTTTGGGATTTTAAAACTCTTCAGATTTTCTCTCATTCCCCCACTTAGACCACAGCCTCTCACTGTGAATGAAAAACAGCTTCCTCTGGATAAAAAGGATCATCGCGATGAGGCAGCACATCCAAGAAGCCTAAAAACATTGAAATATGCATGCAACAACGCCACATCTCCACACACATCCATCCTTCAGGTGCACTACAGTCTCAGATTGATGATTGCTGTTCTTTCGAGTCTGCCTTCTCGTGTTTCCTGTTTTTTTATGCTTTGCATCTTAATGATGTGCAGCTTCTGAGGTGTCGAAGCACAGCTCAATTTTCGACTTTACACATATTTTGTTCTTGTTAGTAATTCAGGTTTGCTCCAAAAGGAAAATAAGATAAATTGGACTGATAAAACAAGAGGAAAAGTAAAGGCCTTGCATCCCTTGTTTCATGCCAGAGTTTTAGTCTGAGATCACTGATGAGAAAAATACAAATACTGTAAATGATGTCATGCAACATTTTAAGATTACGTGTTTGGTAATAATTCCCAGCTATTACATAAAATTTCAGCTCAGTATCAGTAAAAGTGGCTGAAATAGCCATGTTTGTGTTGATTAGCTGTGGCAGCCATCTTTGGTTAGAATAACTCCAAAGGTTTATCAGCTGTAGATGTCGAAGTAATAATTTATTTCTGGGAGATTTATCAAAATCTGTCCAGTGATTCATGACATATTTAGTAAACAGAAGGCAGTGGTCAACGTGCATTTTTTTTTTAAAAGGAGACATATCTTGCTTTTAATTCCTTCCAACATTTAAATCCTTCAGTTGGGGTTTATATAGTGGAACTGCAATGTTTCAGTCAGAATTCCTCCTTATTGTAACTCCACAAGCCCCTCTTTTACCCTGTTCTGATGTGTGTCTCAGATCAACTCATTTTGAGGCTGTCTCTTTAAATCCAAATGAGGAGCTTCCCACCCCCATGCTTCCAGCTTCCAAAGCCATCTGTTCCAGTTTAATAGAGGGTTTTACGACTATATAACTGTCCGGAAACATTTTTTTTATTATAAATGAATTAAAAGATGACAACAAAGGAAGACTTGTCCATCCAGTCTTACATGTTGGAGCCGGTGTCTGACCCAGAGTCAGAGGAGAATGAAAACCACCAAATTGTAGCAGGTAAGTCCAGATCTTATTTGGCAGCTCCGTCAGAATTTCCATCACAAATACTGTGRCATAATAGTTCAGAAAATGTCATAGAAAATAGGGAAAACTGAAAGAACTGAATAATATGAGCCAAACAGAATATAAAGTTATCCACGCAGCACCAGGAGAGACTAAATTACATTTTTCTGCACTCATGGAGACTCCAAGCACACAAGAAAATGCATCTAACAGCTAAAAAGTGGATTTATATACAGTATATATATATATATATATCTGCACTCATGGAGACTCCAAGCACACAAGAAAATGCATCTAACAGCTAAAAAGTGGATTTATATACAGTATATATATATATATATATATATATATATATAGGTTCCTTAAAGGAATGCTAGGCCTTTAGTTTTTGATTTGATTTGTTTCACTGACAATCTGTCTATTATCAACTAAACTTCAGATTTGTTTTTCTTCCCGTTCACTGAATAACGGAATGATCTTCCACACCTTTTGTCTCTGCCCCATGACAGTGTGCTCTCCATCACTCTGAGAAAGAGAAAACAAAACCCAAAGAAAAGAGGGAGAYGGCGAAAAAGAGAGAAAGCAACTTCCGATCATATTTCATTAGCATCAGAGCARATCTTTTATTCAGAGAGGCATTAATTGTCTCGCCGGGAGGGAGAATGACAGGATCATCTAACCAGCGGTGCAGACTGGAGATTGATGCTGTCTCTGGTCACACATCAACACTCGGCCATGTTGATCCGAGTGGCGAGCGAGTGAGTCATGTGAGTGCAGTCGCGGTTATTGCGGTAATGATATTTCCACRCAGGGCTCAGCCATGCCTGGCTCCATCTGCACCAGTTAGCCACTCTAATTTTAGCAGAGGCCGTCCGAGTGGGGCTGTGAGAGCCGCGTGCCACGGCTCATTTAGGYACATCTTTCATTCGCACAAATACGGACACTGAAA